GTATGGGTTATGGCTTTTTGTTATCATCATGAATGTCTTTTACCTTGTAATGTGGATTGGCTAAATGTTCTTTGAATATGCATTATGGCTTCTAACTTGAAATAGCATGTTTTCAACTAAAGGTCCTTTTTTGCATGATTTAAATGGTTTTAATTGCATGGCTTCCATACTTAGTACAATTGATTGTGGTAACCCATATTTCTTCCTTTTTCTACTAAGTGTAGGTTCGAGAATATATTGTGCTACTAATAGACTCAAGCTTGGATTTAGACTTCTCCAAGTCTTTTTGGTATGTCCTCAAGTTTCGAGGACACACTATGACATTTATGTTCCTTATATTGTAATAGACTATTAGACTTCCTATGTACTTGTTATTTTGAGACAATTCTATTGTAAAGGGCTATGGTCCCTATTCGAGATTCTTATGTGTACTTAGATGGTTTCATTGAGATGATGATATCTAGACATTCTACTTACTATTTTCTATTATGAGACACTATGACATTGATGTTGAAAAGTTTTTAAATTCTGCATTATTCAATGTCTATATGCAATGACGGATATGCTAAGGGCTTTCTTAAGACCCCTTCGGGGTTAAGTACGCCGTGTTACGCCTAAGGGGTGCTCTCGGGGTGTGACACGGAGTATTTGAAGTATGAAGCAGAGAAGAAGAAGGCAGCCCTGGTGTATACTTCCCCGATTGTGGATATTCAAACACTACCTGTAGAGGCAGTATTGCCTATTTTGGCCCCTGGACCTTCAGGTACATATAGTGCTGCCCCTTCTGTTACTCCCAGTTCTTCTGTAGCTCCCTTTCCTCCCAGATCGAGTACTTCTACTGCTACCTCCCGGCCCCAGCTCACTCAGGCTACATTACAATGGATGGGGAAGCTAGCCCATTTTGCTGATCATCATGCCGCTAGATTTGAGGCCTCCATTCAGAGCATGATTAAGACAGTCGTTGTTGACGCTATGACACCCTTGAGTGCTACTATTGATACCCTTACGTCTAGGATAGCGATGTGCGAGCGTGGGCAAAGGGCCACTGAGGAGGTGACGACTCTAAAGGACATTATTGTTGTGCTGAGGAGAGAAGTGGACCAGCTAAAGTCCACCGACATATCTATGATTTTTGGGATGGTAGAGATCCCAGATGTACCAGTTGATCCTAATATGCCTCCGGCAACCACCGGAGATGATGTTCGAGTTGAGGAGATAGTTGATCCGAGTCTGAGGCGAAAACGGATGAACAGATTCTTAGTGTTGGTGAGGAGGTTTCTTACGAGGGACTTACAGGGACTGAGGAGGCCATGATAGATACAGTTGTGCAGACTTCTTTGGCAGATATGCCATTGGCTGACCCTGGTGGAGCTGGTGGTACTATTGATGTGACTTCGGGTACTGAGACCCAGGTTCAGAGTGTTACACCGGGCACTGATGCCCCAACCGATGGAGCTACTGTTTAGATAGGAATTTTCTTTACCTCCCTCTCTCTCTTATTTTTATTGACTTTCTGGATATTTTCTTGCATTTGAGGACAAATTGCTTTTGTTTTGTGGTGGGGTGATCCCACCTTTTGTGATTATTGCTCTGTTCATATACTGAGTTTTGTGCTATAAATTGTGTTTTGGCACTGTATTTTGTGGATGTTTGAGCTTATGGCTCCTTATTTTGAATGTACATGATTTTTGACCCTTTTTGAAAATTTTGTGCCACCTCTTGATTGTGTTTGAATGTGGTTGTTCTCTTGCAAAGTTGAGTATCGATCTTAATCAATACCGATGACTTGAATAGTGCTCATAATCGAACAAAAATGAATGTGCGGCTACAATGAGGCCAAATGAAGTTGCATAGGCAATATGTGAACTTTTTGCATCTCGTTGTGACTAGCCGGTTATCAAATTGAGTCTCTTGTGATGAACACTTCACACTAGTGAAAGTGTGAAGTCTTGTTTGACATTGGTGTCAATGCCTTGTGTGATGAGCTTACCGTGAACCATTAGTGATGACACCTAGAATTTGTCCCGTTGGTCCGGTTGACTAAGTGATGCAAGCTCTTGAAATGATCTTAGGCAACAATTTTTAAAGAGTGAAACAATTTGACATTATACCTCTTTTTTGGCCTACCTTGTGAGTGTGTGAACTTCGCTTGAACGCCTTTTGAGCCTTAGCCTTTCCTTGGATGAAACTTGATGAAATTGTGACCTTTTTTTATCCCTTCACCATTAATCCTCATGAGATGTGATTTGTTTGAATAGACAACTTAGGCCAAAAGCCTAAGTTGGGGTGTGGTGAAAAGAGAAGGTAAATCAAGAAATGCAAAGAAGTCCCATTTGACCCATGATTTTGAAAAAGATGAAACCCCTCCATACAAAAAAAAGAGAAAAATGAAAAAGAAAAAGAAAAAAGAATGAAAAAGTTTGAGGTAAAGCTCCAAAAGAAAATGGGGTGTCTGGTATTTCATGGAAAGTGAATAATGGGTGACTTGTGAGAATGAATGAAAATGATGAAGAAAAGGAAAGAAAGTGTTGTTCATACCACATTTCATGAGGATAGAAGCCACTGAACCTAAATAATCATGCATTTACACTCAGCCCGTCACAAGCCTTGAAAAGACCTTTTTTATCTTAAGTGAGCTTAAACAAGTGTTGGTTAGAAAATAAGGGCAAACCTATGGGTGGAGTCATGCATGTGTTCATCTTTGTGAGTGTGAGTGTTGATGGTGATTCTGGAGCTATAAATTGTTGAACCATTGTGTGTGAATATAGAATCATTCTTTGTGTGAGGGCATTTGAGTACCTTTGTTGAACTTGAACTTGCATTTGAAGCAAGTATTGTGAACCTGAGAATCTTTGATAATGGTGAGTCACAACTTGAATCTTTGAGTGCACAATTGATTCTTGCATGAGTAAGTTGAGTCTTTTTGTGTGCATTCATGATTGAGTCTTGTGTAGCACTATTTCAGACATCCTTTTTGAACTGTTGAACTTGAGTTTTACTTAAGGACAAGCAAACGTTTAAGTTGGGGGTGTTGATGAGTCCACGATTTGGACTCATTTAGGGATTTATTTGGATAGATTTTGTATCTTCAAATGCTTGTTTTGTGCCAATAACTGATGTAAAACACGTAATTTCTAGGTATTTGGATTGAGGAACAAAGCATGGACACTAATTTGCAAAAGGGAACAAATTGAGCTGAAAGACCGAGTGGCCATTTGACCACCTAAAGTTCCAGTGTGCCAAGCCCTGAAAGGAGAACATCAAGTTGGCGAGAGAAAGGAGCAGTCGGCGTGTCGCCGAGTGGTTCCGCGATGCAGTGTTGGATCTCCCAAAGTTACAAAACTTGAGGATGCTGAAGGCCAAAGAAAAAAGGCGATGGAACTGACCAAAGGGTGGATCGCCGAGTTGATCGGCGATCCCGACTTACTGCGCCGAATGGTCCTTCGCAGTATTTGGAAACTGTAAATACATTTTCAAACATTATGTTTAGTATCAAATTTTATTATGAACATTCATTAGAGTAATTTTTGAGTTTTGAACTGAGAGTGTTGAGACAATATTTTCCTTAGCTTTGAAGAATTGAAGTTTTCCATTTTTGAGAAATTGGAAGTGGGTCTTTGAGATTCTTCAATTTGGACCTTTGTAAAGATGAAATTAATCTTACCTAGTTGATTGAAACAAAATTTGGTAACGATTTTTATATTTTTATTATGTAGCTAAAACCCCAATTCTTGGGGTGTGATTTTGTGATTATGGGCTGATTTAGCTTATGGGTATTGCTAAGTGTTAGTCTAAATGATGTTTAGAAGTGATTTCAATCAGTAATTGTGGTTAAAATTAAAGGATTGTAGTTGCAAATGCAGTTCTACCTTCGTGTTTTTGGTTTGCTCGAGAGAGAGGTTTTAAAACCAAGATTACTGAATTGATGGTTTGTGGGTATTGGGTTGTCATGGGTTCAGCTCGAGAGAGTGAATCCTAAGTCATTTTCCATACATTTAGCTCGAGAGAGTGAATGGACTAAATCGTAGGCTGTTCTTATTTGCTTGCTTGTTGGTGTTCGATAGAAATCAACTTGATTCAGGGTAAATTGTTCGAGAGAAAGTTTATCCCCACTAAAGTCTAGCTTATTCATTGATTTACATCTATTTACTAACAGTTGCAATTACCCATTTGTTTATATTAGCCTATAATCTAATCACATCCCAAGAACCCGTCTCAATATTTGTTAATTTGTGTTATTTGTTGCTGCTGTAGTTGATAATTACAATCACAAAACCCCACTGTTATTTGACATTCGTGTCACCCCCTAATTTGAATTATGTTTTCTTTTGATAATGTTTATTACTATGATTGACTTGAGCATATTTGTACTTTGCTATTGAATCTTAAACACGTACCACTCCCTATGGGATTCGACCCCAACTCATTTAGTTGGATTATATATTGACTAACGATCGTTGACTCTTAGAACTGGATTCAGTGTCTTTGATAGCGTTATTCAATCAAGTATCCAAAATAAATTTTTGTTAGTAGTATCACTGACCAGACGGAGATAAATGTTGGTAGAATTATCATGGAGTAGATGTTGATGAGAGCTCATTAGAGCAGACCTCTCTCCCCTTCCCTGTCTTGATCACATAGTTGTATGACGCTCTAGGAGTGCCTTAACAGGAGAGGTCAGATGTCACGATCACCCCCACCTCATCCAATGATACTTGAAGGATTGAGAGCGATTATTTGTGGCATGATGTAGCGAGGAGGAAACCGCCACCACTAGACACTACCCCTTTGGTAGACCCTTCTGGCCTTAAGGTTGATACTGCTCAACCCACCCTTTTGTGGAGTCACCAAGTACTACTCAACCTTCCTATGTACCTTCTACCTCCACATCTATTGCACCTACCCCCATGTCCTGACCTACATTTACCCAAGCATTGATCTACCAAATAGGAAACTTTGCCCATTTGGTGGATGTGAGAACATCTAGGGTAGAGAGTGAGATGTCCAAGTTTGTTGAGAGGGCCATTGATAATGCATTACTCTTATTTAGAGGCCATATGGTGCAGTTTCATAACACATTAGCAACATATGGGGAGAGTTTAGATAACCTCACTGCTAGGATGTATACGAGGGAGAAGAGAGAGGGTACCGCCATTGAGTTGATTGTGATAAGGGGAGAGATTACTACTCTTAGGGATGATGTGGATAAGCTGAGGTCCATTGATATTTCGATGCTTTGGGGTGAATTCCCCTTACTTGATGTGCCTGAGGTAGTCCCTCCTTCTGAGTCGAGAGTGGATGCACCTAGAGGTGTGGCTGAGAAGTCTGATGATGGTACTGATGAGGTTGGTGATGAGGATGAGGATGAGTTCTTGCCAGAGGATGAGCAGCAGACTGTTGAGACGCTGACAGAGTTGTAGTCTATAGAGGAGGCAATAGTGCATGCCACGTTGGAGAGATCTTGTTTGGAGACTTCAACAGTTGGCACTTGTGGAGTTTGTTCATACTCCACCATTACTCTTACATATGTGATGGGCACTAATGCCCCGGATGATGCAATTCCCTCCAATACTCGAGAGCAGAGCACTTCACTAGCATAGCCTGTCGGGGGGAACTTTATATATCTTTTCTCCCGTAGTTATATTTGCTTATCACATTGAGGACATTGTTGTCTTATTTTGGTGGGTGAGGGCATGTGTGCCTATATTCCCATTTTAATTGTATTTTGTTATTTTCAACTTTATTTTGATACATTTTATGTATTTTGATATTTTGAATTTTGTTATGATAGTTGATGGTTTGATTCATTTTGTCTCTCCCTACTTTTTTTCCCATGAGTTTGGTAGTTGTTGAAATGCTTGAGTTTTCATTTTTGATGATCAAGGATCGGTTGTATTCAATATAGATATCTTGGATAATACTTATGATTGGAAATGTGTTTTGTGTTAATGTTGCAAGAGAAAATTAGTGTGATCTCACTTTTGAATGATCTATTTTATTCTTGTGATGAAAAACTGCATTTTGATGTGTGCCTTGCAATGAACATCGAATGCAAGCTTCTTAATTTTAGTAGAGTTTTGCTAAATGATTTTGTTTGAAATGTCATATGTGGTGAGGTCCAACTTGAAAGCATGCGTGTTGAATCCTGGAATTGGCCTTGTTAGTCAAATTTTCTAGTCTTGGTGAATGCAAGAAATTATCTTAGGTAAAAATTTTGAGAGGAAACCCAAATTTTCATACCTTTTGTGACTACCTTGTGAGGGTGTGAAACCATCTTGGAACCATTTGAGTCTAAACCATTTGTCGTTAAACTTTTGAAACCTCTTGAGCCAAAATTTCCCAAACTTCTCACTCACAAATCCTTTTCTAAGCATTGGTTTGTTTTGAATAGCCAACTCATGTCAAAATCCTAAGTTGGGGTGTGGAAAGGAAGGAGGAAAGAAAGACAAGTGAAAGTGAGACTCAAATTTGAAGTATGTTGCAAGAAGAAGGAATCCCTCTGTGTAAGAAAAAGTGAGCAAAAGTTTAAAAGTTGAAATGAAAAAGAAAGTGTGTTGAAATAAAAGGGGTATCCAATAAATTTAGTGAAAGATTGAGGTTTGAGTCTCCAAGTGAAAAGAATGAAGAACTTGAGAAGAGGTGAAGATGAATACAACAAAGTTTTGAAAAAGTGAAGTCACTAAGCCAGATTGACCATACCTTTCCCTCAGCCCCATTACAAGCATGAAAAGACCCTTTAGATCTTGCATAAATTAGGTTGTGTGATGATTAGAAAATATGGACAAACCTATGGGATGAAGCTTGCATGTATTTCTCTTTCGGAGAGTGAGAGTTGTATTGATGCCTAACTTCTTTGTTGATATGCTTTGTAAGCACATGGAATTGTTCTTTATGTGAGGGAATTTGAATGCATTTGTTGAAACATGATTTTGCATTAGAAAGAAAGCTAAGTGATCTTGAGTTTGGATTGATGTCAACTAGTCATCATTAGAAGCATTTTGAGCATGATTGAGTGTTGCATATGCTTGAGAGTAGTCTTGTGGTGACACTTACATGTTAACTCTCATTGAGAACAGTTGTAGACACCCTTGTTGAACTAATTGTGTTCTTTGTTTACTTGAGGGCAAGTAAAAGTTTAAGTTGAGGGTGTTGATGAGTTGTAGATTTACACTCATTTGAGGCTTTTTAGTTCAATATTTAGTGTCCTCAATGCCTAATAATGTCCTATTCTAATGATATTTTGATGATTTGCAGTTATGGAGGTTAAAGGACCATGCAAGAATGAATATTTGAAAAAGAGGCCAAAAAAACATTGAATGTAATACAAACACCCAACTGGTAGTATCCTACCAAAAGAGCGGATCTCCCAAGTGACTTAACCTCGCCAATTGTAAACACGGTCAACTTGGGAGAGGTAGGGCCAACTAGGTTATCCGCCCTTTTGGTCAGGTGACTACCAGTTGGGAGTTTGCATCTTACTATTTTTAGTAAATACAAACAATGTGAAAATAATAGTATAATTTTTCAGAGTAATTTGTTCTCATACATTATAGATCTGGCACATTATTTATGTAACCAACAAGGAAAATAATTATACAACTTTTCATAGTAACATTTGTTCCTATGCCTTACATATCTAAGGCACCTAACCTTATAGAATATTAGTCGATTTTAAAGTATAAACATTGAAAATTAATACATCCTCAAAATAAGTAAAAAGTTAAAAGCTATAAATTTAACTAATTTTAAAGTCCTAAATATTAGGATAATAATTTAATAATAATTATTTGAGGAAAATAACAAATAGGCATTTTATCTATTGTAGAGTCGTTTAATATAATATAAAAATATCACTCCATATTTTTAAGAACCTTCATGTTTTAAAGAAATATAGATAGATGGATAGAAGATGGAGAGACCGACAACCATTTAGACAAATGATGAGTCCGAGATTTGGACTCATTTAGGGATTTGTTTATAGAGATTTAGTGTCCTCAAATGCTTATTTTGTGCCAATAACTGATGTTAAATCCTTGATTTTCAAGAATATGGATTGAGGGAAAAAGCAAGGACACTAACAGCCAAGAAGGAACAAAATAGGTTGAAGAAATGAAGATGGGTGAGTCTGAGGATCGCCAAGAGCACTAGATGTGTTGTCGAGTAGCTCATCAGACCGCCTAAAGTTCTAGTGTGCCAAGCCTTGAAGGAAAAAACCAAGTTGGCGATGAAAAGGAGCAGTCGGTGGATCGCCGAGTGAATTCCGCTAAACCAAGATAGATCACCCAAAGTTATGAAGATGCTAAATTCCAAGGCATGCGGGTGATGGAAGAGACCAAAAGGCGGCTCGCCGAATGGTTCAGCGAGCCCGACTTACTTCGCCGAATGGGCTTTCGTAGCACATTTTTGGCGACTATAAATACGTTTTTGAACATTTAGCTTAGTATCAAATAATCTTTAGAACGATTTTATTATTAAGTATTGAACATCCGGAGAGAGTTTTTCTCTAGTTTTTCCTTATCTTTGAGGGATTGAAGAAATTCACTTTTGAGAGATTGGAAGTGGGTCTTTGAAGTTCATCAAATTGGAGCATTGTAAAGATGAAATCACTCTTACTCAATTGATAGATAATCAATTTGGTAACGGTTTTTACCTTTTTATGATGTCTAACAAAAATCCCAATTCTTGGAGTGTGATTATGTGATTATGGGTTGATTTAGCTTATAAGTATTGCTAATTGTTAGTTTAAATGCTATTTAAAAGTGACTTCAATCATAAATTGTGGTTTAACTTAAGAATTGTAGTTGCAAATGTAGTTCTTCCTTTGTGTTCTTGGCTTGCTCGAGACAGAGGTTTTAGAACTAAGGTTTTTGATTGATGATTTGTGGGTGTTGGGTTGATCTGGGTTCAGCTCGAGAGAGTGAACCCTAAAACCAATCCCACACTTTCAACTCGAGAGAGTAAATGGATTAAGGTGTGGGCTGCTCTTATTTTGCATGCTTGTTGATGTTCGTGTAACGACTCGGAAAATGATAGAGTGAAACTAGAGCCTCACATGTGAGTTTGGAGTCGAGAACTTACTGAAATGATTATATTTGAATTTGACCCAAAAGTTCTTAAAAATGTGCTTCGGAAGTTACCGGAAACTTGTTTAGCTGTATATTAAAAGATCCATTTCGTTTTTCGAAAATCCGACTTCATATTCTTGTTTAGGGGGTCAAATTGAGTGGGAAATGGGTCTAACCCAAATTTTAGAGCAACCGTATCAAAATCCGAAATTTCCAAGTGAAGCCTTTTTCGAGGGTCTACTTTGGAGGGTCATATCTCCTAGCACACAAATTATTTGGGTGGCCAATAATATATCCATGGAAAGCCCTTTGAGTTAGCTACCTAACTCACTTCGTTTCACCTCATTCGGAGTTCGGACGAAGAAGTAGTGCCCATTTTCGTAAAGTCTGTCCGGCAGAAAATGCAAATTCCAGTAGCTAATTTTACTGTTCATTACTGTTCACCCGCCAGAAATTTTTTCTAAGTGTTGGACTATTTTTTTCAAAGGACTTATATTATTTCCTATATACCATTAGTTCATTCCCATCCCTAAAAACATTTCCCTCTCTACAATCCTCCATTTAAGAAGAAGAAGAAGTGGGAGCTAGGGCTTTGGATTCAAGGCTTTCTTCATCAAATTTCGTGGGAGATCATAGCAAAGGTATGGTGGTCTTGATCCTTGTCTAATTTTCCATTCAAGGAGCCAAATCCAAAGTTACTTCAAAGTATAAAAAATCTAGGTTTTCACTCAATCTCATGGGTTCTTCCACCAAATGGTTTTAAAAGGTTTCTAATGGCACTTTATGGTTATATTGTTGTTGTATTGACGATTTAAGATGAAAATACTCCATGAACCCATGATTTCCCTCTATTCCTAGTTTATGCCTTTATGAAGTGGGTTGCTAGATAATGAATGTATATGAATCAAACTTGTTTAAAGGTCTTTAGATTGTTGAAGTATGTCATTACCCATGCTTATTTTATGGTGTATTGTTGGTGTATTGGTATGTGAGGCTTATGGCCTTAAAGGCATAGTATGAGAAATTGGAGTGTTATCATGACATTATATGAATGAGAATTCAATGAAGATAATGTGATCATGTTATGAATGTAAAGGTGTTGTTGTAGGTTGTTCACTGGTTTGGTTGCATAATTACTACCCTAATTTCCATGCTCTTTGATTTCATTACATGCCTTCAAGGTGTTTGACAAAATGTTCAACTATGGAGAATTGATGAATCGATGCTTTAAAGTTTGAGTTATGAGATGTATGGAAATCCAGAGATGTGTTGATGACACTCATGAATGTTGATGATATAATATGAAGGATTCTTCAATATAAAGTATACCTTGAATTGGTAGGGCTTATGCATCA